TTAGATACCCGGTACTTTTAGAAAAAACAATAAATATCTGCTAAAATATTAATTAAGAATAAAAAATTGATCTGATATCATTAAATAGATGTATTGGTAAAATTAATTAATATTAAGTATTTCCCTTTAAGACTCTTATGCCTATAGATATTTTTAATACACCCTGCAGATGATAACGAGCTCGTCGCTATAGTACGCCAACATAATCAGTTCTCTTGCTCCTATTTAGAGATGGCATGATTTTGGTAATGGCTTCACAACAAACACACTTTTATGAATGACTATTTGGGGTATTGATCAGAGACAACTTGTAAGCGGCTTTTTAAATTATTATATAAAAAAGTTGTAGTTGAATATATGAAATGATGAATTTAATGTTGGAGTTCCCTTTTATTTCCTTTGGTTACGCCCATGTGGACTTGACAAAAATCACCTCGCTATATATCTTGCTTTCGTTCATATCTTTTTTAGCGTTTCCTTTAGTTGTATTAAAAAATAAAAAAAATTATAAAACATTAAGTTAATGCTCTTTTATTTAATTTAACAAAAGCGTGTGTGAACATTTAATGTGAACACCGAATAAGAAGAAGATTTAACGGAAATTGCTTTGAGAATATTTACAATAAGATATTTCTTTACTAGGCGAAGTATAGCCTTTTTCTCACGCAAAAAGTGAAAACTTTTATATCTATAATCCGAACATGAACTGATTATCAATTACTTTAAATGAAAAAACAGGCGTGGTGAAAATTTCTATTGCAGTTCGGTACAAGCTTTAGATATTTTTATGATTAAATTCTCTCCTTATTTATCATAATATTATTTCCTACAAGACAATGCAATCATACAATATATCAAATACTAATATGAACTTTCTAATATGAAATTATATTTTCATTACGCTCGATTATGGTTAGTATTCCTGGCATGTTCGCACTCGCAGATTAACTATAAACACGTTCATTTGTTGCTATAAATCTTATCGATACCTACAAGGCAAAGCGTATTTCTTGAAGATGCAAATATGTTTGAAGTAGAATATTTATTATTATTATTATCATCATAAAGTGTATGTTTTGTTGAGCTTTTCATATAAACAAGATTTATTTAGAGGATAATGTAATGATATTTTGTTAAACCAGTCGAAGCCGAGTGATTAAATTTAGATCATTTTGGAATGTGATGTTTAGACCGCACTGCCATCTTTCTTCTTGAAAATTGATAGTACCATTTTTTAACCGATCATTTAAAATACATTTCTTGTACCTAACCCTGTATGTATTGTAAAAATAATATCATAATGTGGCTTCGTCGAAATCACAGAGCTTTTATATGTCTAAATATCCCATAAATCAAAACTTAAATTGGGTGTCGTATTACACAGCAACGCTGTCATCATCGTCATATTTCTTACGGATCAAACCTCAAATACTGTATATAAAAAAAAAACAAAATACAATAATTGTTTTATAATTTCCAATTAGATTTATAACGTATACCAAACGAAACATCGCTAAAGCCAAAGAATCAATAAAAATAGTTACATTATATCTGGAAATAAAACATCCGAATAACACAGATATTCATAAAATATTACCTAGTTTGTCCACCTTTAATATTTAGTTATTTTAAAAAGAAAAACTCAGAATTTTATATGAGTTTAAAATCTTATACATTGAAGAATTAATATACATTATTAATATACCGTTTTATGAAGTCAAAAAGAGAAACGGGGTAATATATCTCAAACAGTCTGATAATAAAAAGACACCATCTCTATTCTTACCACACTTCGTATTATAATATGTATTCTACCAGTACAAAACAAAATATTTGAATTCTCTTAAATATTCTAAAACTAAAACTATTAAATATTTTGAAACAAAATATTTAGTATCTGTTTCAAGTTTTCTTGATTTTGTTGCTCTCTATTGCAGTGCTCTGATTGATATTTCTCAGTGTAGAATAAATAAAGCGTGAAGATAACTTGTAAAGTTGATTTTTTATTCAACATAAATAAAATTAAAATACATAATTTAATCTAAAAAAGTTTTTCACATTTTTTACATTATTAAATTTTTAGATTTGTTAGATTGTTATTTAGATCTGTACGTTGGATTAGGAGTTGGACGTTATTTGTTCTTGTCTACCGCGACTTTTTCAGATCTATTATGGGACTCCGTTTGTTTTAGAGTATGTCGTCTAGTCTGGTCCTTTTTTATTATACTAAGTAGCTTTGACAGTGGCTTTTCTTCGCCCAATGTTAGAAACCTAATTCCAGCCAGGGCTTCACATTGGCACAGGACGTGGAATGATCTTTCGTCTTCTTCTTCACAGAATCTGCCCAAAGTTGCTTCTTCTGCTAGATTAATGACACTCATGTGCCTTTTGAGGCGACAGTTTCCAGTAAAAAGGCCTACTGTTATTCTAACGATTTTACGCTTTTGATCCAGTAGGTCTTTTGTGAACTTGGTCGATGGTTCCTTGATGAACTGTTTGGCCTGTCTCAGTCTTGGATAGTTGTTCCACTATTCCTGAGACTCTTTTTGCATCCATTGTCTAATGGATGCCGCGCACAATGCCTTAGCAACTCTACAGAAGGGTTCGGGGCCTGTCATGACCTTATCTGAGCCATCTGGGGCTAATTCGTCGGCCTTTTCGTTGCCTCATGGCCTGAAACCTAGGGTAACCTTATTTTGACTACTCAGCTCTGCCAGGTCTTCTAAATAGTCTTCCACCAGTCGTGATTTGATTTCTGGTGAGAGAGTTGCCTTTGGAGCTGCTTGGCTATCAGAGTATATGGCAATAGTTTTGCCTGATACTTGCTGATTTAATATTTCTCTTGCACAGTGTTGTATGGCTATTAGTTCAGCCTAGAACACTGTTGCATATTTTCCTAAACTCAGCGAAATCATTGTTTTCGACTTGGTTCTATAGATTCCAGCACCGGCTCCTTCCTTGGTTTTTAAATCGTCTGTGTACCAGATGAGTTCAGCCTGTACGGGAGGTCCCTGTTTCCAGGATTCTCGGGCTGGTATTTGAATTTGAAAATTTATTTCAAATTTGTATGTGGTTATGGCTCTATTAGTAAGGCATAGCTAAAATATTGTCTCTTTTTACTTGCTGATATAGCCTTGTGTGGTCGGCGCTATGTAATTGGCTAATTGGGTTTTGTCCCTGCATTAGCCTGTGAATAGCTGACCTGGTTTCTCCTTGTATGAAGATGTGCAGTGGCGTGAGATTTAATAATACCTAAATTGCTGCAGTCGGCGTAGTGCGCATGGCCCCAGTAGCACTTAGACAGGCAAGCCGCTGAATGCAAGTGAGTTGGCCTATTGCACTTGCGTGCAAAGTTTTGGTTACCTACGCCACCGCACCATAGATTATCATGGGTCTTATTACCCTTGTGTATAACCATATGGTCATTTTGGGGTTTAGACCCCAGTTTTTCCCACATCTTCTACAGCTTACGAGAGCTATTGTAGCTTTGTATGTGAGTTTTTTGAGATGTTGATTCCACGTCAGCCTTTGGTCAAATATGACTCCAAGGTATTTGGCTTCTGTGACGAATGGGATAACTATGTTGTTAAGTACTAGTTGTCTTAGTCCTGTAAGTACCCGTTTTTTGTGAATGGTACAACTGTTGTTTTTTGTGCGTTAATGGACAATTGTTTCTTTTTGCACCAGTTGTTCATTATGTTTAGAGCTGTTTGAGATCGCTCCGAGACTGTGCCTGCAAATCGCCCCCTGACGATAATTGATAGACGATCCGCGTATCCTAGGCACTGGTAGCCTTCTTTGAACAATGTTTTAAGTAAGTCGTCCACAAGAACTGACCACAGCGTTGGCGATAATATTCCTTCTTGTGGGCAGCCCTGTGTAACTTTTGCCTGTATGGTTGCCTTTCCTATAGTAGATAAAATATCCCTTTTCTCTAGACAGGCAGTGATCCATTGACATATTGTAACTGAGATGTTTCTCTCTTCTAGAGCCTTGGTTATAGACCTAGTTTAGGCATTGCTGAAAGCTCCTTCGATATCTAAGAAAGTGGCTATTGCGATTTCTTTGTCATCTATTGACTTTCCTGGCTGGTATGCATATTGGTTGGGCTGGAGAGGATTTATTTTTAGTATCTCGTCCGTGATATCAATCTTTCTAGAGTTTTAAGTAGGAAGGAGGATAGGCTTATGGGGCGATATGACTTTGGCGTTTGATCTGTGACCCTACCTAATTTGGCAAGGTAGACTACTTTGGCCTTTTGCCATATTGAATCTGTACGTTAAGACTCGAAGACATATTTTTAGACAATAAAAGTTTTAAAAACTAACTATGATAAGAACAAAAAAGATGTCTTTTAATACTAGGCGGCTTTGATTGGTTCGTCTTTTATGATGGCTGTTGTTGAATAATAAAATTATATTTGTTTGTTGCCAATTTCTAGATATATTCTGCTTTCTTCTTTTGACTTCAAATAATCTTATAAGCAGAGCAAGATGAGGTATACGATTTATTCAACAGTTACGATTTTAAGTTAGGACGAGAATCAGTTTACTGATATTTTTAAATAATAGTCCGTGAAATGTCGTCTAAATCTATAAGAGATTGTTTAAGTTTACCTATGTGTAATTTACAGGCACCTGAAAAGAGCGTTTGTAAATTATGCAGTATGAGTTTTTGTTTTACTTAATGTTAGAGTAGGACAGACTAACACCAAACGTACTGTGATATTTTCGTTAATGGTCTGGCACGTGAATATGCCAGGGTCAGAAAAAGTAATAAATAAAAAAAAAATAAAAAAAATATTTTGTTTTTGTACGGAGTAGGTAGTGTGACGATTTAAAACGTATTCAGAGTTAGGAAATGTAACATAAATAATGCAATAGTTTATATCGGTCTTAGAATTTATTTCCATAATTAATACTCAAAAAGAATCCATGCATTTTAAATTCTAGGTAAAGTAAAGTAAAGTAAAGTAAAAAAAAGTAAAACAAATTTCTTACCTTAACATCCTTTATAGTTTGTGAAACATCCGAAGTAACAAAAGTCGAATTTACATGCGTAGGTTTATTCTTTACACTGGGAAATATAACGCCGCCTTTTCTTTTCTCCACTCGTTTTTCTGTAGTAGAAATCGTTCCTCCAACTTGGGAAGACACACTATTTTGAACAGAAGTCTGAGTTACAGGTGGAGGTATAGTTGTAAAACCTCCACCTGGAAGTGTGGTATCCGTAGAATATTCTTCGATGAATCTCGTGGATTCATAATCGTCAAGATTGTCCAAGGAAGGATTTAAAAGTAGTTCAGGTGGGACAGGCTTTTGAGCTAAGGTTGCTACATCATCTTCTTGTTTTTTTAGCCTCTTCTCAACTTTATCTAAGTTTGCAATGATTTTATTTGTTTTCATTCTTAAATCGTTATGAATTTCACCGATAGCTCTTTCTTGTCTTTGGGTTTGTGTTAATAGTTCATCTGATTTTGGTACTAGATCGTCTACGGAACTTTTGGTTCCTACGACGACATTCCAGACTTCGTCCATTTTTTCAGATACTGTTATTATTGGTTTTATTTTTTCAACTAGACTGTCTATTTTATTCTGCCTATCTGGTCGATGCGTGGTCGTACTCGATCTGTTGTAGTAGTTGTTATAACCTTTATGATCATCTATTATGGCATGGTGTACATCTGACATTAAATTCATCATTTTACCTAAATTTTCTTGTACCAAATTGATATGGAATTGTAATTTTCTGTCTACTCCACAAGTCGTTTCTCTTAGTTGTCCTAATTCCTTAGTTATATGATTAATAACTTCGGTGTTTAAAGCTTTAGTTATTTCGATAACATTCATGCTAACAGATCTTTTTTCACTAGCTTCTGCGTTAATATCCTCACCTTGTAAAGAATTATTATCTAGTTGGTTTTTTAAAACACTCAACTTATCGTCTATATCGGTAACTTTTTGATCTAAAGCTAGCAATCTCTTTCCTAAGTTATTGCTTTCCGCTTCAGAGAACGAATCAAATTTCTTTTCAAGATGAAGACGATTGGGCGTTGAGAATAATTTTGAATCTATCGTTCGTAATTTTGCTATAACAGATTCCGTTTTGTCGATATTGTTATTGACTCTATCGTCAAGACCTTCTACTCTACGCATCAGATGTTCGACTGCTTTATCTAGGTTTTCTATCCTTTGTAGTTTAGATTCTAATGTTGAGATTATGGCTTCGAAAACGTTGAATAGGTACTGCTCCCTGAAACAAAAAAAAGTGAATAAGTATTTTTGATGTTTTTTTTTAACATTTTCTTAAATGGAGAAAATCTCTATTTTGCTTATATTTTTGTTCGCGGAACATTTAAATTGATAAAAAATAATCTGAGTTACCAAATGAGGGCAGACTATAAGTTTGGTTGTCAATTAGATTGCATGTCGGAATAAATCAAAAGAACATATCGTGTCGATCTTGACTGAGGCCCGAGTCCGACAAGAAATTAGTTTCTCATTAACCTTACTAAAAGACCACACATGCTTCTTAAATATATTTGCACGCAATTATTAACTGTCTGAGATCTGCTTCCTTTAGAACTGTAAATTATGACGTAAAACAGTACTTCTTCTAGAATGTTTGAGTTGTCCTATTCCGTAAACAACAACGTTTCCTGATTCTTCTGAGATAAAAATCTCTGACTTTACAGAGTGTCATTATATTCGAGCGACAACGCTCTACTACAGAGATTTCTCGTTAATTGATGAATTTTGATGTAGGAACATAAATCATTACAAGGTTTAGTTACCGAGATAAAGGATTTTAAAAGTTTAAAATCAAAACTTATAATTTGCCACAAACCAGAAACACCTTTAAATATATTTTTTTAAATTTTGTAAACAAAATGCTCTTTAAGAAAAAAATATTTTAAATTTTGAATTTTTTTACCAGTGGCGTGCTATCAGGGTTTAATCTGGTTGATACGTATCAACTTTTAATAGTTCGTGTATTTCTTTACTTCATAATTACCTCTACCTGAGTGTATCTGTAACGTGTGGAGGGTGGGTTACCCCCACGGCACTTAGGCCTCACTAGGCCCATTATGCATCCTCCTAAGATAATGGGCACCTCCTAGCTCGTGAGCCAGCCTACAGATTTAATGTAGTTGACAACGTCGCCAAGAGGTGCTTCTCTTATAGCCGGTGTTAGCCGATACTCACCGAACATAAATCTTTTAATAATCTAATCTTTTTATTAGTACCCTCTGCAGAGTGTGGATTCTGACAGCCCCATGATACGGAGATGCTTCCATAATTGGCAATGACCAGTCAGAATGCCTGTGACTAGGTGCAGATTCTGTCTAATCATAGTCAAGTATTTGTTTACTGCAGTGTTGTCAAGATAACTTAAGAGCTCCCTAACAACTCTGCAGTTTCTTGTTTCATCCCATCTTTCCTTGAATTTCACAAGGGAATGTTCTTTGATTAGATCTGTCACTACCGATTTTGTCAGGCCAATAGAAGGGCCTGGTCTAAAAAGTATTTGGTTTGCTACTTTCTCGGCTAGTGAATTAGCAAGACGGTTACCTTTCGATGTGGCGTGACATTTGATCCATCTTAAGGTGACCCCATTGTTGATGGATACTTCGGCCAAAGCTTCGTGACATTCTAGTACTAACCCTGAGTAAATTTGTGGTCTGTTAAGGGTGACTAGTGCTTATCTGCTATCTATATAGATGAGCATGTTCCTTCCAGTGATAGTGTTTCTTGTTATTTCATTTGCTGCTATGAGAATTTCTTCTGCTGGATTTATGACACTCATGTGCCTTTTGAGGCGACAGTGTCCAGTAAGAAGGCCTACTGTTATCCTAACGATTTGACATTTTTGATCCAGTAGGTCTTTCGTAAACTTGGCCGATGGTTCCTTGATGAACTGTTTGGCCTGTCTCAGTCTTGGATAGTTGTTCCACCATTCCTGAGACTCTTTTTGCATCCATTGTTTAATGGATGCCTTGCACAATGCTTTAGCGACTCCACAAAAGGGTTCAGGGCCTGTCATGGCCTTATCTGAGCCTTCTCGGGCTGATTCGTCGGCCTTTTCGTTGCCCTGATATCCCTCATGGCCTGGAACCCAGGCTAAGGTCACCTTATTTTGACTACTTAGCTCTGTCAGGTCTTCTAGACAGTCTTTCACCAGTCGTGATTTGATTTCTGGTGAGAGAATTGCCTTTAGAGCTGCTTGGCTATCAGAGTATATGGCAATAGTTTTGCCTGATACTTGCTGATTTAATATTTCTCTTGCACAGTGTTGTATGGCTATTAGCTCAGCCTGGAACACTGTTGCATATTTTCCTAAGCTTAGTGAAATCGTTGATTTCGACTTAGGTCCATAGATTCCAGCACCGGCTCCTTCCTTGGTTTTTGAACCGTCTGTATACCAGACGAGTTCAGCCTGTACGGGAGGTCCCTGTTTCCAGGATTCTCGGGCTGGTATTTGAATTTGAAAATTTCTTTCAAATTTGTATGTGGTTATGGCATAGCTAGAATATTATCCCTTTGTACTTGCTGATATAGCCTTGTGTGGTCGGCGCTATGTAGTTGGCTTATTGGGTTTTGTCCCTGCATTAGCCTGTGAATAGCTGACCTGGTTTCTCCTTGTTATATAAAGAGCAAAGGAGAACTAAAACCTGTAAAGGAGATTGATGAAAATAAATATTGTACTAAATGTTGCAGATTTCAGTGCACAAAAAACTTTACAATGGAGCTAAGGGAAGAAATAAAAAATAATTATTTCTCTATGGGTCAAACGGGTAAAATATTTTTTTAATAAACAATACAAAAAGAATATTGATAAACCGAAAAAGAAGTAGTGTTAAAAATTACTGGTCTTTTACATTTGAGTGCTTTTTTGAAAAAGACAACGAAAAATTAAGATATGCAAAAAAATTTTTGACCACCTTATGTGTTAGCCAAAAGCCTGTATATAATGTTCATTTGAAGAAATCTGACGCAGATACACCTCAAAGTGATCAATGGGGGAACTATACCACCAAAGATCGTATAACAAAGGAAAATAAAGACGAAATAAGACAACACATAGAGGCTTTTTCTCACGTAGAGTCTCATTACTGTAGATCCGACTCTAAAAAATAGTTCCTTGATCCTTTATTAAACATTAATAAAATGTTTTAGAAAAGCAAATTCATTCACAAAGTATTTCGTTGTACAGACACATTTTTAACTATGAATATAATTTTGATTTACTTAAACCAAAAAGTGACCGATGTGATTTTTGTGAAGAGTATAAAATTGCCCAGCGGGAGAACAAAATGAGTGAAGAACTGGAATTGTTAAACAGACACCAAATGAGAACAGAACGTAAACAAGATGGTAAAAATCATTCATTCCCGTTTCGAGAAATTCATGCAAGTACATGATATATGGTCCCCACTTGCATTTGTAAAACTTTTGCTATAGACTGATAGAAACAAGCATTTCTGCGTTATTATTTATAAACAAATTTTAATTCATTTATATTCAGAAATTTGTAATCAAATTTGATTTATTAAAATATCAAAAATTTTCTTGCCACAGAATTTCATTCAGTTTTGTCACACTATTTTACCACAGATTTTAAATCATTGTGGAACTGTACCTGAGTGTACACCAGTAGTTTCACACTACAAAATAAAAAATTTGTAGTAGTAACTGTATTACTGTTTTCAAAAAATTATATCATAGAAGTTTTTTAATTCGTGGATATCAATGCATAAAAAGCCAATGGGTACCATGAGAGAGTTCATTCACCAGGGAATATAGTATTAATTTTGTCGTAGAAAGAAAAAAATGTTAACGCTTTTAAGAAGTCTCAATCTACCATTGCCAGAAGATATTAACAAGCGCCTTTGATCCACCTCTGCCTTCTAAAATAAACAATTTATATAATTTACTTAATTATAAGTTTATAAAGTACACAAACTGGGTGATTATTTATGAAATCCGATGTATTTCATGTTGTTTATGAACTAAATTGAACTTTTATAACAAGGCGGAAATATCTGAAAAACTGCGTCGGCATCAAGTAATTTTTAAAATTGCCCTATACTTAACTCTGCAAGAAAGTAGAGAATATACGATATACCTACATAGCGAAGAAGAAGATTAAAATCATAAATTCGGAAATATTCTAAACGCATTAAGGCTGTCAATGTGTCTTATAAATCAAGTATCGTAAGAGGATTCGCACAGGTGGATATCGAGGCCAAATATACAGCGTTTAAAACTAACTTTAAGCCCTTTAATTGTACGAGTAATACTTTAAAACCTTTCATAATTAAAAATAAAAAAATTGAAAGAAACGTAATTCCAAAATCAAATATGACTAAAACGTAAAACAAAGAAAATCCCAAAGCCATGTGATACAAAATAATACGACCGACCATTTTCTTCCCGAAAATTACTTCTTTGGCAGATAACAAAACAGGTATTGGATTGTACCTAACTAAAAACGGCATAACAAATTATTTTCAACTCAAAGAGTAGAAATAACAAGAGAAGACAGTCATAGTGGAAAACTAAAATCAAAAGAGATAGACCTACATTCCAATTTAAAGAGATTTTAAGGGATTTTAAAGGATTTTAAGGGATTTTAAGGGATTTTAAGGGATTTTAAGGGATTTTAAGGTATTTTAAGGTATTTTAAAGGATTTTAAGGGATTTTAAGGGATTTAAGGGATTTTAAGGAATTTTAAGGAATTTTAAGGAATTTTAAGGGATTTTAAGGGATTTAAGGGATTTTAAGGGATTTTAAGGGATTTTAAGGAATTTTAAGGGATTTTAAGATATTTTAAGGAATTTTAAGAGACTTTAAGATTTTAAGGGATTTTAAGGGATTTTAAGGGATTTTAAGGGATTTTAAAGGATTATAAGAAATTTTAAGGGATTTTAAGGAATTTTAAAAATTTTTAAGGAATTTTAAGGGATTTTAAGGTATTTTAAGGGATTTTAAAGGATTTTAAAGGATTTTAAAGGATTTTAAAGGATTTTAAGGGATTTTAAGGGATTCTAAATAAGTTCCATAGGCGGTGGCTGATTATTTAAGTAGTATGTTGTCCTCTAGGGTTATTGATTTAGTTTGTTTGATTTTGTTTAGTGTTTGACGTATTTTTATTAATAAAATATAAAAGCTTGCTAATAAACGAAGTAGAGTGTGATACATTTATAAAAATTGCCATAGTAGAACATGAAATAAATGTTAGTGAAAATATA